GAATGCCATAATGTCCGTAAATGCTTGTGACCTGTGCAGGATCAACCACTAACCATGAGATGTCATGCGGTTGCGACAGTGGCCTCGGACAATATTCACTTGAATGCGAATCAGCTACGTGTTCTCATTGGATTGCTAAATTCTTACCTCGTCCACGATCATACACAACAAGTGAACCTGACTTATTTTCTGGAGGTGGGGGCAGCTCTTGCAATGGGTAAATCAGGACAGGTAAGTGTCCCGTAGTTGTACTGGTGGTGTAGGGGACTGACCATCCTCGTCTTCGGAATAGTCTGCAGAGCCTGCTGATACTGCAGCGCAAAGTACAAATTTACCTTGAGCTTGAATGATCTTATTGATGGCTGAGTGGTTGAATCGTTAACTTCTGTTTCAATCCTCTAGAAGGTAATACTTACGTCCAGAAGCTATGTGAGGATATTTCCCAGTGATACCAACCTTGCTATACGCAAGGTCATGATAAAGCTTTGAGGAACGCGTAAATCCTGTAAGCGACAAGTGCTCCTTTCTGCGTGCCATATGAAATGGCCTTGCTGCACGTGCAGTACCAAATATTTCGAGGATCTGTGAAGGAGTTATTGACTGAGATTCATTTGTATCTATCACATATCACCATCCCCCATGGACCCATCACCGAGTGGTCGAAGGCCAGTCTATCGCGGTTTATTGCCTTTTTCCGTTTTGCAACCTCCGGAGGAGGGAGCCTGTGTGGAGATCCGTGCTCATGGGCCAGCTCGTCTACTGGAGTCAAGTCTTCAGCTTTGTTGCTTCTAGCTGTCGATACCCACTAAAAACAGAGGTACTCGTTGAAAGCGGGAAAGTCACGGTAACGATAAAATGCGTACATTGGAATCGTCATCTAACCTAAGGGACACGAGGAAGTCTTCAATGTCGTCGTCTGAGTCAGAATAGTTATTTCGGGCAACACGCAACGCCCGCGACACGTTCCGAGGGTCCTCGATAGGTTCAAAACCTGCATCGGCATCGGGAAGAGCATAAAAGTACGATTCTGTATCCCCAACCTTCTGCCTCTGCGGAGTGTGACACGGTATGTCTCGGATTATTGAGCAAGAAGCGCTCACCTTGGTAGAAGCTTCCATTTCACCGTCTGAAGAAACCTTGACAGCGTGGAGGGTCTTGCGCTTCAAATTTGGTCGGCCAACCTCACGTAGTGCCGCCATTGTCGCATCAGTCGCCTGCTTCTTCATTGGGCGGCATTCCACAGACTCTGCTGCACGGCGCATCTCCAGTTCCTTTAAACGATGTGAAAGATGTGGAGGTGACGAATCTGGAGACATACACGTTGGGTGATAGATTGAAGTCGCGTCTGCTTCTCCATTGACCGTGACAAGTGAGGATGGGGCAACCGATGGGAATTTCTGTGTCTAGTCATCAGTGATTCGAAGGTTCAGCCGCACCTTTTTAAGGCTGACCACTGCCGTCATCGAGTACTTACGAGCTCTGTGGTAGCTGTGTGCGTGAAGAGGATGTGCGTGAAGAGGATGCAACTGGCACGTCATTCTCGTCGTCGTCTGAATCAAGCAGTTCGATTACTTCTGGTCGATTGCTTTTGCGGGATCGTGGGGTGGGTGGTCTGTCGATGCGCACGCAGCGACGAACGCCTGTGCAGAGAACATCCAAGTCGTCAACATCGATGATCTCCTGCTTTATGCGATTTTCCATCAAGGCTGGGAATACGCGTCGTTCTGAGAACAGAGTTCAAAGTCATCGCCCTGGCAAGCTGGGCCAAGTTTGTGCTAGGGGGTGCTAGATCGGCATTTCCCACGATACCATTAACCAACCAAGTGTGAATATTGTCCTTGATAATTCCAGGTACTGTAAACTACATTACATTCTGAAGTACTGCTACTTGTTCGCCCTCAGTGCCATCTCCTCCAACGTAATTGCGCGATAATCCTCCCCGTCCTGGGCCCATACTGCATCATCTTGCACATACACCAACAGTCCGCCCTTCCCACCGGTGCTGGACACCTTGAACAAAGGCATCCGCGACTTTTCATGGGCGCGCCCAGTGGGCATAAACAGCAAATTATGCTGTGCCGCAAACTCCTCGACGATCGCGCGAAAGGTGATCTCCTGCGTGTGAGAGGTCAATACTTTCTTTGAGGTCCCTGTCCTTTGAACACCATCAGCAGCGGCAAGCTCCACCCTCAAATCCGGGCGCCTCAATCTGGTTGGCGCATCGACACCCAACTCGATCGCCTCGTTCATCAACTGCAGTCCCCTAGTGAACCCTCTCGAGACGCCCGGTAGGGCCTGTACCTCTTCCGAAAAGCTTCCCTTCCAGAACGAATACCATTGTGCAACCTCTTCAAAGCTCACGCGAGGCTGGACGAGCCATATGTGAAGTACATCGAGCCACTTTGGGAAAAACTCGGTCTCGAGCAGCTGGCTGAAGATGGAGCGACGAAGGAGCGCAGACCAAGGAAGAACAAGAGCGAGCGGCTGCATATCTTGGGCACGGGGATTCACCCGGAAGTCGTCGCGCAGGACAGAAGCGAGCTTCGGAACGACGAATTTGAGAAGCATCGTGTCCCATTCGCCAGCGTCAAAGACCTCACGCCAGACGATTAAATCCTTGGGCACCCCGTCTGCGGGTACCCATCCTCGCAGCAGACTTTTGACTTTCCTTCGTGCGTCACCAAGGACGTCTTCAACGCGCAATCCGAGGTACGGAAGCCACGGAAACACGAGGGCCTGCAGGGACACCGGGCTTCGCTTTGGACTCCAATCTGCGACAGCTTTGATAACTTTGGGGAGGATAAGCTGATCAAGAATGTTGTCGCGCACAAACAGGGGGAGGAATGAGGACCAAGTTTCGTAAAATTTGACAGCTGGCGTCGGGTCTTCCGGAGCCCACTCGTTGTTGATACAGGTGCGCACCTTAGGGAGCCAAACAGTCCAGATGAGGCTTTCGAAGGGAGTCATCGATGTTTCAACAGCGGGGAGAGGGATAGCACTGGCTGGTGCGCCGTATACTTCCACTTGGTTCTGTGGCCGCTGTTCGACGTCGTTAATTCTGAGGGCTTGCTTCCACGTACGGAAGGTGGAGACGAGGGTGGAGGGATTTTTAAGGGGATTCCACTGTGCGACAACGCGACGAACTGTGGGAGCTATAGCTGCAACGACTATCTCGTCCAGCCGATATCTGTCAAACTCCTTTGAAAAGTTTACGAGTAGCTGTGAGAACAAAGGTGAGAAGTCGTCGAGAGTTGCTTCGTAGATGGATGCAAGCTCTTTGGCCTTAGAGCCAATGTCATCCACCACAAGAGTCACTTGTTGGAGTCGCGAAATTACTGCAAAGGATTCGGTAACTCGATGAGGAGGAACATGCGAAAATACGAACGTTCAGCCTCTTCAGCAACCTTCTTCCGCAGTCGTGCATCTTCTTGAGCGATTACCCGCTTGCGATCTTCCAGAGCTTTTGCCTCTCGCGCAAGACCATCGAGCTCTGTTTTGCAGTTTTCGGCGATGAGTCGCAAGTTGTGTCGAATCTCGGGTAGGCGGGTGGGGTCTGTTGACGGGGTCCACGATGACACAGATATCTCGGCAAGCGAGGCTACTTCACGGGGCTGAGGAAGGTATTAACGAATGAAACCGGAAGAGTTACGATGATCCCTACCGTTCGACCCGTGGCATCAATGATTTGCCCTAGGTTAGGGGCAGACAACTCTTGCCCAGCTTCGGCCACGATTTGCTCGTACGTCTTGTGCTCAACCTTAGTCTTCACCTTCCGGGGCTTCTTCCACACATCCGAGTGCTTCTCCTTTGTTCTCCTTTCCTGCTTTTTAATTCCTGGCGGCAGCCCCTCATCCTCACTAACGACCTCACCCCTTCTCTTAGCCTCCAACTTCGACTGCTCCGTCTTCTCCTTGAATCCCTTATAGGCAATACCCACATTCTTTGGACGTAATTTGCTCTCAATCGGAACGACGATACCCTCCCCGTCCACACCAAGACCTGTTCCCGTCTGCCACCCCATTTTGGCGAGCATTTGGGCCCCAATGGTGGATCCAATTTTCGAAAAGTGAGCTTGTTCATGGGCAGGAAGGGGTGTCGACGGTTTGCTGGTGGAGGAGGAGCCGCTGCGGACGAAAGCGCGTTGGGTGCGGGTAGCAGCTCCAAACGAACCAGGAAGGGAGGAAGTGAGAGTGGAATCGGCAGCGGGCCTGGATGGGGAGGGAGCAGGGATGGAAGGTTCAGCTGATGTTGCAACTGTAGTCATAGCCGCAGCAGCAAACATCGAACTCATACTACCTTTTGTAAACCCAATTCCTCCCCCTCCAAAAGAGCCTTTCGAGGATCCTATACCACCCTTGGAGGGCGACGGAAATGACCCAACAGCCGCTGCGTGTGCAGAGCCTATACCGCCAAACCTTGGTTTAGCTGATAGCTCTTCCCCTTCGTGTACTCGAGGGGACGGTGGTTGGGACGGCTCGGCGGAGGCATCACTCCCATCGTCTCTTGGCGCCAAGTCACCGTCGTCCTGCTCGTCTTCCGAGCTGCCACCTTCGTCTTCCTCATCAACTGCGTCCCTCGGCGACTCTATACCATCCTCCATATTACCCACGTCCTTCAAATCAACCTTGTTTCCCGACACAAATGCAGGTGCCTTAGTCCAATCGCTTCTTTTCTGTTTAACCCTATGCTTTGAATCGTAATCGTCCTCATCACTTTCTGCGAATATCCCGTAGACTGCGTCTTCTTTTTCATTTCGCCGTCTTTTCTTGTGGTAAGGACGCTCGAAAAGCTCGCGTTCGGCTCGTACGTCGGGATCGTTTTCATCATAATTGAGGCCTTCTTCCGAGGCTGGGGATAAATCCGAATCCGAATCATCCTCGAGAAATTGGCGCTTTTTGCGACCCATGACTGTACGTGGTGGTCGTGTACAAAAACTGGTTTGAGTAAATATGAAAGGGCTAAAACGAGCAAAAAGATAACAAAAATGACAGCCCACATTTGGGCCTGGCCGGGAATTGAACCCGGGACCTCCTCGATAATTAGGCAACCCTAACAAGGAATCATACTACTAGACCACCAGGCCGACATAAATCTAAAAGCCCCCGCTAAGTATAGTATCGATGACTATGATCAATAGTGACGCGTCCTCTCGTGTACCCATTCTTCACTTCCAACTACAATGAGCGCACAAGCCTCAACATCGACTGGCGCGATGGACCAGCGACGAAAGGACGCTCTCAAGAGCTACCGCGAAGTGAGTAGTCGCTCGTGAACTTTTCTCGTTGCGCTGACGTTGCGCCATAGAAAATGCGGACACACGACAACATCAGCCAGAGCCTCAAGAATTGTCAGTTATCGTTCGTTTCCTAGCGCTTTCATACTGATTCCATTCACCTTTCCAGTGCGCTTTTCTCTCAAAGATCTGGAAAGAGACTTCGCGCAGACGGAGAACGACATCAAGGCCGTCCAGTCCGTCGGACAGATCATCGGTGAAGTAATGAAACAGCTCGACGACGAAAGATGTAAGTAATTACTGCCGAGGTTCCAACATTTACATTATACAACGCTTTATTGGTCTAGTCATAGTCAAGGCATCTTCCGGACCCCGCTATGTCGTGTCATACCGTCCTGCCCTTTCAGCAGCCAAGCTCAAGACGGGAACTCGCGTATCCCTCGATATGACAACGTTGACCATCATGCGTGTCCTTCCACGCGAGGTTGACCCACTGGTCTACAAGATGAGCTTGGAGGACCCTGGGGGAGCATCGTTCGCAGGGATTGGCGGCCTTGGCGAGCAAGTACGCGAGTTGCGCGAGGTGTGTATGTCAAACAAGCTTCTTCCTTCTGCTAAGCTCCCGCTCTGTGGGGCAGGTGATCGAACTCCCTCTCTTAAATCCTGAGCTATTTATTCGTGTGGGTATCAAACCTCCCAAGGGTGTACTTCTCTATGGTCCTCCTGGCACGGGCAAGACACTGCTTGCCCGCGCAGTTGCTGCTACTCTTCAAACCAATTTCCTCAAGGTCGTCTCCTCTGCCATTGTTGACAAATACATAGGCGAGTCCGCAAGAGTTGTACGCGAAATGTTCGGGTATGCGAGGGATCACGAACCCTGCGTAATTTTCATGGATGAGATTGATGCCATTGGGGGAAGACGATTTAGCGAGGGAACGAGTGCGGATAGAGAGATTCAAAGAACTTTGATGGAGGTTGGTGTTTCACTTCATTTCATTCCTCCATCTGACTGCCGAACACAAGCTTCTGAACCAAATGGACGGTTTCGACTCGTTAGGGCGGACCAAACTTATCATGGCCACCAACAGACCGGACACCCTCGACCCAGCACTCCTGCGTCCTGGCCGTCTAGACCGCAAGATTGAGATTCCGCTACCCAACGAGCAGGCGCGGTTAGAGATCCTGAAGATTCACGCGCAGCCAGTCAATAAGGGCGGGGATATTGACTACGAGGCAATTGTTAAGGTATGCATTTCCTTTTGGGCTCGGGAGGTTTTATTTAGGAAATATTTAATGAAGCTCACCGACGCGTTCAACGGGGCTGACTTGCGGAACGTCGTAACTGAGGCTGGGATGTTCGCCATCCGTGATGATCGGTACGTTCCCTCTCCCGTCTTTGCAGGACCGACTTACGCTTCCCACAGTGAGTACATTATCCAAGAAGATCTCACCAAAGCAGCTCGTAAAGTCGGGGATGCGAAGAAGCATGAGAGTACGTCTCGCATGTCCATTGTGATTACCAGGTCGCTTATCTGTTACATACAGCCAAACTGGAGTATTCCGCATAACGTCGTCACGCATGTATCGTACGGTAATGCATACATCATATCCTCGTTCGCATTGCTGAGACTTGCGCGACCGCCCATGGAAAATACAAAGAGTCTATTAGCATTACTGTATGATAATACGCGTACGTCGGCGGTGGTGAACTGGTTTTCCGAGAAGAAGGGGAGGGGGAGGGGGGGTTGCGCGAAGAGATCAGAAGTGGAAAAAACCCTTCTTTTTCTTCTTCTTCTCCTCCTTCTCCCCAGGAGTCCCTGTTCCAGAACTGTTTACCGACGTAGAGCTCGCCGCATATGGGGAGCTCGGACTCGGCTTCGTGAGCTTCCCGCCGCTCCCTTTCGTGTCCTTTGCGTTCTGGACTGTAAGCGCAGGTCGTTGTGGCGGGGAAGGATCAGGCGTAAAGTACTTCTCGTCGTAGTATTCTTGGTACGAACGATGTGCATTGGACACGGATATACCATTGGGCACCGCGCGTGAACCAACACCTCCAAGCTCAAGGACCTTGAGATCGTCAACAAAGTGACGAGGTGTGATGGTATGTGTTGAGCCTGTCGCAACTGGGGTTTGGCTAATTGCTAGTAACGTTGAGGCAAGTGTAACACACCGATATAGATATCCTTGTTCAACGTCCTACTGAGTGTGTAACCTTCTCTGATCTCCGAATATGTCGTTCCTCCAGCAACGAATACAATTACCCGTTGACGATTGTCAACAGGCGCGTTCGATCGCACGGCTTTGTGCCAGCTCGGTTTCGCGCTACGCAACGACGTTGTCGGAGGGGGTGCTTGGCGGAGGGAGACGGGCGTAGCTGTGGTCGAGGGCGCGTCTTTGACGTACGGAAAAAGAGTGGAGTCGAGTTTGCTATTGGCCTGATCCTGTAGAGGGGGATTAGTAAAGGCCCATTAAATGTGCGAGGATGGGTACCTCGATGACAGTACGTAGCAGCGGCTTGTATCGCGAAAGCTCATACTCTTCATCATTATTCAACCTGGACTTGAGCTTCCTCTTTGTGTCTTTATCAGCAGGACCCTATGGGGGAATCATTCAGACGGGAGTGCGACAAATTGAAGGTAGCTTGCCTCACCCTGGTGATCCGCACGCCCAGGTGGAGCAGCGAATTTACAGCATCTTGTTCAGCCATGCTGAGTCTGGCATGTTGATATAGTCGGCGACGGTCTTCGTCCGGGACGCCATCACGGTGCATGATATAAAGCGCGACCATGCGTACTTTGTTGGAGTTGCTAACGCAAGAGATCAATGCACCGTCGCAAAAGGTGTTGCATGTGTACTTACATGACTTCCCGACTGTCAAGCAGTGGCACCATCTCTTCTACCAGTGTTTTCGGCGACTTCCCTTCAGCAGTCATTCCAGTCGCACAGCACTTAATAGCATCAACCTGAAGGCTCAAATACCGGATGAGACCGAGATGCACACCTGCTCCACGTTCGCAACCAATGAGAGTTTGTCTTTCTCGAATATATTCATGCAGTCTTGTGCAATGTTTAGGTGCAGTGAGAACTGGGATAGCACATCAGCACACAGACAATAGGGAACGCGGATTCACTAACCTTCTCCCGCTGTTCCTGGTACTGCGGCAGGCTGGCCAACATATCTTTCATGTCATTTAAACTCGCAGCACCTTCACTGCGGAGCGCCAGAAGTCAATGTAGAAGGGCCTCGACAACGTTCGATCAAGCTTACCCCTTGAAACCAGCGTTCTCCTCCATGAAATTATTGAAGTCCGCCATCAGCTTGTCAATGGCTTCTCGCATATGCATATGCCGGACAGCGGACCACACGGAGTCCGAGTCGGAGAGGGTCGCCGTCTTATCTTCGTAAGAGCCGAGAGAGGACTGAAATTTGTACCTAAAGTTATTAATCCAAATGGCGAGCATTAGCGGGCATGCCATGGTTTGCACAGGCTACACACGTGTATCTCGTTCCATCTTCGATTGGAAGTAGGTCGTTACACATGGCTTGGTAGGTGAACTCATGGATGAGGGGTGCAACAACATCCATCGCACGGTCAGTGATGATGAGTGTGCCGCGAGGCCGAGGCGGATCAAATGGTTTCTTCACCATTTCAAAATCAATATTGCACCATAGCTCACTTATAGCACAGAGACTCACAGGGAAGGTAGGGTTTGCGGCCTTGTACTCATCCAAATTCTGCTGAACCATGAAGGCCAACAGCTTTGTTACAAATTCCGTGTCTGCAGCCTCATATGCGCGGGCTGCATCTCCGCGCGCCAGGTTAGTCCGCCACCGGTTGCTGCCTTCGGGAGGTGGCGGGGCACGCATCTGGACGTTCGGTCGGAGAGGACCTAAGGGGAGATGATGACTGGGAAAGTAATATCGGATGTATGGGAACTCGTTCAAGGTGATACAGACATTTGTTATCTGAGAACATTGAAAATGAGAACAGTCATCTATGGTCGTCCCGAAAACCTTCACTTACGGTCTTGCTCACGAACCGGAGTTCCTCCTCTAGCCGCGCTCGGGTAGTCCTGAAGGAAGCTTCATTACGCGGTGGACTATAGATGTGGAAGAAGAGTCCCGGCGCGTTTAGGGAGAAAGTCTGTGCTTCCGTCGCTGGACGTAATCGCGAACTGGTCAACATGAACCCTCGCTGGGGGAAGGTTGGATGCATTGCTCACCCCAGAAGTTTAAAAAGAGATCTTGTAGTCCCTTGAGGAATGGCTCTGCGGGGGAAGAAGCCAGGCGATCAAGCAAGGCTTCAGATAAAGCTGACGAAGGGGCTTTCGTTGAACAGCGCATCTCGTGAAAGTCGGCTCGACGTGAACACACCGTCCATGAAAAATAAGTGAGCCCCAAGATACTGCTGCCTGCCATCCGAAAAATCCTTGATGATTTTGTCAACATTCTGAGTTGTAGGCATGAGCAGATATACTGCCTCGAATTGCTGTGGTTCCCGATGGCTCGATATCGACTCAATCACTGTACCAAGCGCGTCAGTGCTTCTCGGACTCTTCAGGAAAAGCGACGGCACTTGCAGGTGACATTCTCTTCCAATATATCGAACTGCTTGAGCACTGATCCCAGCAACTTCTGCGCGTAGTCGTCTACGACAAGTATCTTCCATTTTCCTTGGGGATCAACAGATCTGATTGCCTGCAGAAATTCTTGTGTACGACGTTAGCTTGTCGACGAACGCAAGAAGACGGCGGCCATACTTGAACGAGCGATGGCGATGAGTGAAGACATGCTGGTTGCACTGCCAGCGCGTCGGCAAGCCGAGATGCCAAATTCGGTGAACCATACGTTA